CTGCTGAATAGATATGCATGGAGCAGATATTCCCCCTATTTTGACAATATCCTTTAAAGACAATAGAAGAGAAGATGTATTTAAAAACCCACTAGATAAGCTGCACTGCATGATTATTAAACAGAGCTGAGAAAGCAACAGTGAGTGGGCTTTCTAGGAATCTCTACCTAATGGTCTGAACTAGTCTTTTCATTTTTAAAAGTTGTTTAAAAACTTATTTATTTATTTATTTATTTTTGCCATAAAGCATAAGTGCTTGCTGGAAAGAAACAGAGAGAGGCAGAGAAAGGGAAGGTGTGAAATCACCCCCTATGGGGGATGGCCATGCCACAGTCCCTTCTCCATTGTCCTCCTGGGATTTGGGGCACACATACACGCATGCACCTGGAGTGATTTCAAGCTGCTGGGTCAGGGGCTTGAACTGTTGTCTGCCATGTGAGAGTCCTGCACTTTAACCACCATGCCACTTGCTAGTCCCCTTGAAAGTTACTTTTGACAGAATGAATAATTCAGAAATGTCTTTTCCAAATGAATGAAGTTTTTCCAAATGAAAAAAATAATTGAGAACTTTTTAAAATAATTATTTATTTAATTTTATTTATTCATTCATTTATTTTAATTTGACCAGAGAGAGATACACACACACACACAGAGAGAAAGTGAGAAAGCAAGCCACCAGGTCTGGTACTCGAACCGCGGTCGGCCATGTGGGAGTGTCCAGCATCTTAACCATCACGCCATCTGCTGGTCCCGAGACCTTTTTATAAAAAAAAAATAATAATAAAGCAAACCTATTCTTCTTAAAAAAAAAAAAAAAAAAGGGGAGGGACCAGTAGTTAGTGTAATGGCTTTGCTGCTGAACTCCCATGTAGTTGACCGTGGTTCAAGTCCTGGACCCAGTGCCAAAAAAAAAAAAAAAAAAAGAACTTTTAATATATATGTGAGATACAATATCTCTTTTTTTTTGGAGAGGTTTTTGCTATAGGGCATGTGCGCTCACCAGAGACAAGAGAGACAGAAAACGAGAAATCTCCCCCAGGGATTATGGCCATGCCGCAATCTTTTCTCCATTCTTCTCTCAGGATCTTGGGCATGCACACACATGCACCCAGCATGAGTTTAAGCCACTGGGTCTAGGACTCGAACCATGGTCGACTACATGGGAGTCCAGCAACATAGCCATTACACCAACTACTGGTCCCAAGATACAATATCTCTTAAAAACCTCTCTCCCACATGGCCAACTGCGGTTCAAATCCCAGACCTTGCAGCTTGCTTTCTGGCTTTCCCTTTCTCTCTCTTCTGCCCTCTGGGCAAATTAAAAAAAAAAAAAAGTAAATAAAATTAAATAATTATTTTTTTACAAAAAGGCAAAAACTCTAATAGATCTGTGATTTTCCTGTCATTTAACTTTTATATTGTAACATTTGCTCATTAGAAATCAGACTTGTACCTTAATATTTATCATTAATTTATATTCTGTACCATCAAATTTGTTCCTGATCTCTAGTCACACCCTCTTAAATTAATTTCTTTGTAATTGGTATTCCAATCAAGCAAACATATAGGTGAGCTTCATCCAAGAATTTATACATCTTAAATTCTAAACTATCTGGATTTTTTTTTTTTGGAGAGATTTTCACTGCAGGGCGCGTGCGCTTGCCAGACAGACAGAGAGAGACATAGAGACAGAAAGCGAGAAATCACCCCCCAGAGGGGATGGTCACGCCACAATCCCTTCTCCTCCATTCTCCTCTCGGGATCTTGGGCACGCACACACACGCGTCTGGCGTGAGTTTTAAGCCACCGGGTCCGGGACACGAACCGCGGTCGACTACGTGGGAGTCCAGCGACATAGCCATTACGCTAACTGCTGGTTCCCTAAACTATCTGGATTTTTTTAAGAGAATTTCTCTCTCTTTATAAACTAACTTACTAGTTTACTAGATGCAGTTTCTACTTATTTTATAGAAAATTCCTCATTACCAATCATCAATTATTATACTACCTCCTTGTAAGAAGCACAGTGGCTGAAATTTGACTTCTAATGTTTTCAACACTGTATTATTTTACGAATGTATTTAGAATAGGCCAATATGCAGAATTAAAGATTCTATATTTGCTTTGTCATCTTAAGGTATGTTAAAAATTACAAGGCATTAAAAAAGTGTGGTAAGGGACCAGCAGTTAGCAATAATGGCTATGTTGCTGGACTCCTACATAGTCAACCGTGGTTCGAATCCTGGACCCGGTGGCTTAAACTCACGCCGGGCTCGTGTGCATGTGTGCCCAAGATCCAGAGAGTGAGAAAGGAGGAGAAGGGGTTGAGGTGTGGCCATCCCCCCTGGGGGGTGATTTCTCGCTTCCTGTCTCTGTCTTTCGGGCGAGGCGCGTGCCTTATTTATAGCAAAAAAAAAAAAACAAAACAACAACAACAAAAAAACAAAACAAACAAACAAACAAACAAACAAAAAACACCTCTCCAAAAAAAGAAAAAAAGAAGTGTGATAATAGTCATTTTCCACAGAGATGATTTTAGCACTTATGGGCCACATGCAAAATTTAGAATTCACTAGGAGATGATAATTAAGTTCCTATAGAAAAGCTAATAATAGGGACCAGATGGTGGTGCAGCAGTAAAGCCCAACTCTATCAGACTGACCCACTTGGGGAAGTTCCAGGAGTACTCACTGAGTACTCCAGGCACACTGGGTGCCCATGATCATGGATGGCTGAGGTAGGGTGTATCACTGTGCTGGGATCCTTTTGGGGGGTGCTATCTCTTTCTCTATCTCTCACTCATGGTATAAATCCGCCCCCCCCACACACACACACAAAGTGTGCATACACTCACCAGAAAAAGAAAGAGAGGAAGAGGAAAAAAGCCCCCATAAATAGGGTATGGTCACCCACAATCCCTTCTCCATTTCTTCATCCTGTCAGTATTTGGGGCATGCACACAAACATGCCCAATGTGTTTTTCAAGTTGCTGGGGCCAGAATCTAAACTACATGGTCAGCCATGTGGTAACAGACTCCCTTAATTATTCTACAGGGCCAACCCATAAATCATTTTTATTTATATATTTATTTTTACATTTCAATTTAAAAATTTTTTGAGAGATTTTTGCCATAGGACATGTGTGCTCACCAGAGAGACAGAGACAAAGAGATAGAAAGTGAGAAATCACCCCACAGGAGAGGATGGCCACGCCTCCAGCCCTTCTCCATTCTCCTCTCAGGATTTTGGGCATGCACACACGCACCTGGCAGGAGTTTTAAGCTGCCAGGTCCAGTTCCCAGACAGCAGTTGACTACGTGGGAGTCCAGCAATGTAACCATTATACCATCTGTTGGTCCCAATAATTTTTTTTTTAATTAAAAAGAAAAAAAAGTTGGGGCCAGCAGAGGGCATAGTAGTTACATCACTGGACTCCCACATGGCCTTCCTTGGTTAGGGTTCCAGATCCAGTGACTTGAAACTCCTGCCAGTTGTGTGTGAGTGCCCAAAATCCCAAGAGGAGAATGGAGGAGAAGAGACTGTGGCGTGGCTATCTCCCCTTGACAGTGATTTCTCACTTTCCCGCTCACTGTCTCTGTCTCTCTCCTGTGAACTCACGCACCCTAAGGCAAAAACATTTTTAAAAAGAAAAAACTAATAAAAAATTGCATGGTTATGTATACTTTAATGTGTTTTATCACATAGCTTTACCTGTAAAATGATGGCAGTGTGTTCATCAATTGTCACCACTACATAACGTTCTGTACTGCCAAAGAGCTTCAGTGACTCACTGCAGCATCTCTCCACTAGTGTGATATTATAGCTGTAAAATTTATTATTCTTAGGTGAAAGCAATGAAATGGCTAAAAAGGATCCATCAAGACATGTTATATCATCCTACCGCATATCATTTGAATTATTTTGTTTTCTCTTTTACATCATTTGATTTATAACTATAAATTTGAGAAAGCTATGGTTTATTCAGTAAATAAAACAAATTAGTTGAAATATGTGTTGCCTTAGGTATTGTACTAAATATGACTACACTATTATGAATATCTTGACTAATTTATCCTAGTTTATCTTACTTCTTTAAATAATTCATGAAATCAAAACATTGTTATGAGACTAAAATGTTCTGTATTCATCAGAATTTCCATTTCTTTTCCCTTAAAATCAGCCTACATTCTAACTACTTTTTATAAACACATAGTTTTCTTTGATTGCCCCATTGCTTCAAGATACAAAAATAAAAGAATAGAACACAGGACTGCACTTTAACTAAGGTCATAGCGCAGTTATCCTTCCTTGATGTGCAGCCCAAAGCCCACATTCCTTTGACTACTTGTGTGCTATGATCAAGTGTTTTATGATTTTAAAAAGTGCAAGGTTGGTTTGACCTTGGAATACAGATCACAAAACCTGAGCATTCATATAGAACTTCACAGTCCTGTTTCCCTGACAGCATTTAAGTCCCTTAAACAAGAACACTTACTCTCAATATTAATTATCCAAAGATAAGACCATATAATTTATAAAAAACAATAAAGTATTCATATTTACTAGTAACGCAAGAAATACAAGTAAAATATAAACTTAAACAATAATTACATATCTTTTTTTTTTTTTTGAGAGGTTTTTGCTATAGGGCATGTGCGCTTGCCAGACAGACAGAGACAGAGAGGCAGAAAGTGAGAAATCACCCCCCAGAGGGGATGGCCACACTGCAGTCCCTTCTCCTCCATTCTCCTCTCGGGATCTTAGGCACGTACGCACACGTGTCCGGCGTGAATTTTAAGCCACCAGGTCCAGGATGCGAACCGCAGTTGATTATGTGGGAGTCCAGAGACATAGCCATTACGCTAACTGCTGGTCCCAATAATTACATATCTTTTTTGTCCATAAAATTGGTATGTATTATCAAAAAAGATACCATTCAATAACTATGAAGTTGTAGTATAGGGAAACCATTGTTAATTGATATAAACCCTGTGAAAACCTGTTTTGATGTGAATAGTTCCAGGCTTGAATCAGAGAGACGTAATACCATATATAGAACATAATATTTACCATATATATGTGTGTATGTGTGTGTGTTTATTCGTTGTTAAAATCATAAGATCAATAACTTACTAGGATTCTAACAGTTGAAGTATTTCTGGAGTGTTAAGAAGTCCTTCAGATGCAAAAAATACATATGGAATCTGAATTTCCAAAAGAAAACCACCAAATCTATCCAGCAAGGTAGTTCCTAAGTAAGATAAAATTTACAAATATTTCTTTTTTTCTTTATCCTCCAACTCTTTCTCTTATTTACTAAAAAGAATAACAGGTATGTATTCATGTAGTACTATATAAATAATATTATAGGGAATCAGAAATCAGAAAAAAAAAGGTCTGAAGAGGAAAAAATCCATGTTGTTCTCCATCTGGAAATAAAAGAGTTAATAGAGTTTACTAAAGATAATATATATTAAAGGCAAGTTTAGTATATATTTCCAGACATTTTTCTGTGTATTTGCTTGCTTATATTCACACATGTACAATCACTTTAAAAAAAGAGAGAGAGAAGCACACTCTAACTGAAATGTTGAAACTTTTTTTATTCACTTAAGTACATATTGGACACTTGCTCTGTAAATATATACTGTTTTATATCAAAACTTAAAATCATGCTATAATCCATAGGAAAAACATTTTATAGGTCAATAGGAAAAGAAAAACATACCTCAATGGAAAAAAAAGGCAAAAAATCTAAGTGGACAATTTACAAAAGAATGTCTCTACAAGATCATTTCACATATGAAAAAGTACAGATAATTAGAGAGGTGCAAATTAAGAAAGCTATAAAATATTTTCTGCCGGGACAGCAGGTGTTCTCATGGTTAAAGTGCTGGACTCCCACATGGCCGACCAAAGTTCGAGTCCCAGACATGGTGGTTTGCTTTCTCGTTCTCTCTCTCTCTCTCTCTCTCATGAGCACGCATGGCCAATAGCACATTAAATAATAATAATAACAATAAATAAATAATTCTTTAAAAATATTTTCTGCTTATGAGTCTATCAAGGATTTAAAAGATTATAGTAATTACTTACAGTAAAGATCTGAAGGAAAGGGACCAGCAGTTAGCGTAATGGCTATGTCGCGGGACTCCCATGTAGTCCACCGTGGTTCGCGTCCCGGACCTGGTGGCTTAAAATTCACACCGGGCGCGTGTGTGTGCGCACCCAAGATCCCAAGAGGAGAATGGAGGAGAAGGGATTGTGGCATGGGCATCCCCCCTGGGGGGTGATTTCTTGCTTTCTGTCTCTCTGTCTCTGTCTGTCTGGCGACCGCATGCGCCCTATAGCAAAAACCTCTCCAAAAAAAAAAAAAATAGATATGAAGGAAAGACTTTCTGTATAACTACTAGTAGGGAACAGCGTTTCTGGAAAACTATCAATGTGTGTATGCTTTTGATTGAGTAATTTTACTTCTTGGAATTTGTACCTCTTAGAACAAAAACATAAAGATATGCATGTAAGATATGTAAACGACTATAAATCTTCTAGTATAGTAGTGGAAAACGGAAACATTGTAAATGCCTCTGAATAGAAAATTGGTTGAATAAATTATGTTCATCTTTGAGAGAATGGAAGAAGAATTTAAATACAGACTAGGATGCTTCTTAACTTTTCTACTTTCTCAGGCCCATGTTTCAATTTACTTAATTTAACATTCAGTTCTACATATCAAATATGCCAAAGAAACAATTTCGGTAATCATATTTTTAGAATTAAGTTGGAATGTCTCATAATCTATTTTGACTTCCCACTTATCTTTGAAAAAGATAAAAAAAATAGATTAATATTCTTATGTGGGGCAAGGCTAAAATAAGTTTTAAGGTTAAAAGCAAAGTGAATCTATTTCAATGAAAATGTTATATAACTAAAAAAAGAATTTATGGCAAGTATTGAGAAATGCACTGAGGCTAAAAAGGTATGGGTTTTATAAGTCGGGGGATTCACAAGGTTAGTCATATGAAATGTTACTGAGAGATACAAAGAAACTAAGGGATATAAGAGGTAGTTGGAGACTTTTTTCTAAATATTTGTGGATAATTTTTTGTTGTATTAATATATTAAAATTTTCTTCATCAGTCAACATACTGTTACATAATTTTCTTCTACAAATACTGTTGCACAAAAGTGTCAGATTAAGAGCCAATCTAATTATAATGAAATTGTGCTATTATAAATAAAATTTAGAGGTTGGATAAAGGAGTGAAGACAGATATAATTAACAAAGCTTACTTTACAAGTGAGGAATACGCGGTTAGAAAGAGTTAAAAGACTCGCCCAAAGTTACAAAGGGAGTGGTGGGGTGACAGCTTGAACTCAGGCCTTCTAGTACCACAGCTTATTTTCTTTCCATAGACTATAAACAGAAAACAGAAATTTTTCATTCTAATGGAGCAAAGATTTTGACTTCTAGGCTTACTTTTTAAAACTGTATCTGGAAGAATCACTTTAAAGGTTATGTAAGGAATAGTCATCTTTTCACAGTGTTTACTCCAACAAGAGTTTTCCACATAATTATATTCCACCACAAATGAGAAGTTATTCCAGGGAAAATCTGCTCCAATATATTGATTAGGTACGATAACACAGGAACTTGTACTGAAGACAAAAGAAAAAAAGAAAACAAAATTATACTTGAGTCATTATTTACCTGGAATGCTAAAAGATGCCTGTTTCTGGCCATTCCACTCTTCCTTCACTTGTGCCTACTCACCTGAAGAGGCAGTGGTGCATTTGCTGTTAATTTGCTCATTTGTGTTTATCTCTTTTTGACCTTTCTTTTTGATAGATCAACAAGAAACACTTTTTCTGTTGTTTTTAAACCCAGTATATAAAAAACTGTGGACTATTTTACATATTCAAATGAAAGAGATTCTGATTTATTAATTAAGTACTATACTCTCAATTAAAAATTATCATAAGAAATTAGTCCCATTTTCTTACAAACATAAGGTCTTGATCTTTGAGAATCTATATAATGGAATATTAACTGAGAAGTTTGAAATGTTTTTTGTTGCTTTTGTTTAGTTGGATTCATAAATGATTAACAACAAAAAAAAATGACAATTGGGGCCAGCAGGTGGCGTGGTAGTTAAGGCGCTGGACTCCCAAATGGCCAACCACGGTACAAGTCCTGGACCTGGTGGCTTACTTCCTCCCCTTCTCTCTGTCTTTCTCTGGTGAGTACACATGCCCTATAACATACTTAAAAATAATGATAATAAATAAATAAATAAACACTTTTTTTTTGGAGAGATTTTCACTGTAGGGCTCGTGCGCTCGCCAGACAGACAGAGAGAGACATAGAGACAGAAAGCGAGAAATCACCCCCCAGGGGGGATGGTCACGCCGCAATCCCTTCTCTTCCATTCTCCTCTCAGGATCTTGGGCACGCACACACACGCGTCCGGCGTGAGTTTTAAGCCACCGGGTCCGGGACACGAACTGCAGTCGACTACGTGGGAGTCCAGCGACATAGCCATCACGCTAACTGCTGGTTCCCAATAAACACATTTTTTAAAAAAAGATGGTCCCTTAAATTTCATAAACTTAGCTTTTCCTTCATATTTCATTTGACAAAATACCTACTGTTATTAAATTTTCTACTGCTGCTGGGACCAGCAGATGGCATAATGGTTATATCGCTGGACTCCCACATAGTCGACTGTGATTCAAGTCCTGGGCCTGGTGGCTAGAAACTCATGCCAGGCATGTGTGCATGTGTGCTCAAAATCCGAAGAGGAGAATGGAGGAGAAAGGGTTGCAGTGTGGCCATCCCTCCTGGGAGGTAGTATCTCACTTTCTATCTCTCTGTCTCTGTCTCTCCAGTGAGTACATGTGTCCTACAGCAAACATCTCTAAAAAAAAATAAATTTCTACTGCTGCTTTCTATCTAGAGCACTCTAGAAGCTGAAAAGTTATTTATGCTTAGTTTTTAGAGGCTTCTATTTGATTTACATCTCCCTTAATTATTTGGATCCCAATATTAGATATAAATAATTTATATATAAAACAAAGCAGAGTAATGACTTTTTTTTTTTAAGGCAAGTCAACTTTAGATTTATTACCAGGACCTCACTAAAGGAATTCTAAATGTACTTTAGGAGGAATGAGAACCCAGAAAAAGAGGAAATGTAAAAAACAATGTTGAGGAAGGGTACTGATAAAAACACAGGCAGGTCTAAATAGGTATTTCTGTACTACCTATAATAATAATGATAATTTTGGGGTGCTTAAATAAGATTGAACTGGGTCCAGCCCATTGCATGGTGGTTAAGGCAGCTGGATCCCACATGGCCAGCTGCACGGTTCAAATCTTGTTCCCCGTGGCTTGAAAACCACACCAGTGTGTGTGTAGTCCCAAAATCCCAAGAGGAGAACGGAGACAGGATTGGGCCATCCTTCCAACAGAGTGATTTCTCACTCCCACCCACCGTCTCTCTGTGGTAAGTGCACGCACCCTATAGCAAAAAGAAATAAGAAGAAAGATTGAACTAAATTTATAGATACTAATAGTATGTAATACATAAGGCGATTTTCTAGGTTAAATTGTTCTAGATAAAATTTTTTTCAGGGTGAAGAGAGAGACATTGACTAATATTAGATTTTCTTTTTTTTTTTAAAGAATTCTTTAAATTTATTTATTCATTTGTTTATTTTAATTTGACCAGAGAGAGAGACACAAAGAGAGAGAGGGAAAGTGAGAAAGCAAGCCACCAGGTCCAGGACTTGAACTGTAGTAGGTCATGTGGGAGTGTCCAGTGCCTTAACCAACACGCTACACACTGATCCCTAATTTTAGGTTTTCTTAAGCTTGTTATGAGAACTTTTATGAGAAAAGTTGCTTCCCCTGGAGAGCTGGTATATCTGATCCCCATAGATGAAGAAATATATTTTTACCTTTTAAAAGTATGTTTAGGTTCTAGAAGATCTTTTCTTTCATTTGAATGACAGACAGTCAATGTTAAGCCTGTTGGAAAAAAAGTAATACAAAAAAGTTGTTTTCAGTATTTTGTTTATATATATACACGTGTGTGTGTGTATACACACATACATATATATTATATATTATATATTACATATTACATATATTATATATGTATCATTTATTTTACTACCATAAAAATTAATTAAAGATCTGTGAATAAGAAAATTGCTAAGTTTTTTTTTTTTTGGAGAGTTTTTTGCTATAGGGCGCCTGTGCTCGCCAGAAAGACAGAGAGAGACAGAGAGACAGAAGGCAAGAAATCACCCCCGGGGGGATGGGTACACATGAACACGCACCCGACTGAGTTTAAGTCACCAGGTCCAGCACTTGAACCATGGTTGACTACATGGGAGTCAAGCAACATAGCCACTATGCCAACTGCTGGTCCTCAGGAAATTGCTTGAAATACAATTTGTTGAATTATTTTTCTAAGTCTAACATATCATAAAGTTTGAGCCACAGGCACTCTCTCTGGTATGTGTGTGTATACACACAATGGGAATTCTGAGTTTATTATGTAAAATAATGAAATGGATTATAAACTTAATTTTAAAATGCTAAGTCGAGTCAAACATTCAATAATCCTATGCAGTGAATTTTATTTTGCTAAAAGTCATGGGGATTTTATCTTTTTTCTCTAGCCAAAAATGTAAGTGTATAACTAAATAGCAGGAGACTATACTTAAATGTGATAGGAACGCTTTTTTCTCCCTCTTTCTATAGGCTGTATGAGAAGCAGAGGACTTATTGGGCACCATTTCTTTCTTAGATTCACTTCTGCTTTTTTTTTTTTTTCTTTTTTGGAGAGGTTTTTGCTATAGGGTGCGTGCGCTCGCCAGACAGAGACAGTGAGACAGAAAGCGAGAAATCACTCCCTGGGGGGATGGCCACGCTGCAATCCCTTCTCCTCCGTTGTCCTCTCAGGATCTTGGGCACGCACGCACACATGCCCAGCGTTAGTTTAAGCCACCAGGTCCGGGAATTGAACCGTGGTCGACTACGTGGGAGTCCAGCGACATAGCCATTATGCTAGCTGCTGGTCCCCACTCCTGCTTTTTAATTATAATCTTTTATGTTATTAATGTTTAAACAAAATACAATAAATTTGGGGAGATTCTGTACCTACACATATAGTTTATTTTTGGTAGACAGAATTGATTTAAGAATAATTTGGGCCAGCAGGATGTATGGTGATTAAGGCGCTGGACTCCTATATCGTTGACCACAGTTTGTGTCCTGGACCTAGTAGTTTGAAAATCACGCTGGCATGGGTCTGGCAGATGGCGTAATGGTCACATGGCTGGACTCCCAGTGGCCAATTGTAGTTTGAGTCCTGGACCTAGGAGCTTGAAACTCATGCCAGGGATGTGTGCATGCATGCTCAGAATTCTGAGAGGAGAATGGAAGATAAAGGATTATAGCGTGGCCATCACCCCAAGGGGTGATTTCTCACTTCTTCTCTCATTGTCTCTTTCTCTGTCTCTCTCCAGTGAGCACACAAGCCCTATGGCAAAAAGCCTAAAACAAAACAAAAAAAGAAGTTAATTCTAAGCCAGCAGGTGGCATGGTGGTCAAGGCACTGGATTCCACATAGCCAATTCTGGCCTGAAAAACACGCTGGGTGAATGTGCATGTGTGCCAAAAAAATCCCAAGGGGAGAATGGGAGGAAAGGGATTGCTCCATGGCCATTCCCCTGGGGAGTGATTTCTCTCTCTCTCTCTCTCTCTCTCTAGTGAGCACATACACCCTATGGCAAAAAATTCCAAAACAAAAGAACAGTTAATTCTATTGAAATAAATTCTAGGGGTTGGCAGGTGGCATGGTGGTTGAGGCCATGGTGGTTGACCATGTGGAAATCCATGGTCAACTACTTTTTAAGTCCCGGACCCAACGGCTTGCTCTCTCACTTTCCCTCTTTCTCTCTGTCTCTCTCTGGTCAAATAAAAATAAAATAATAATAATAAATAAAGTTAATAAAAAAATTTAAAAAGGAATACATTATTTCTAAGAAGAATTATTTTATTTAATTTTAGTCATTGTCATTATTTTATTTTTTTTGAAGTTGACCAGAGTGAGAGAGAGAAAGAGAGAGAGAGGAAGTGAGAAAGCAACCTGCCAGGTCCAGGACTTGAACTGTTGTCTGCCATGTGGGAGTCCAGCCCCCTTAACTGCATCACTACCTGCTGCCCCCCCAAAAAATATAATCTATACTCTATTAGTGTACTTTTGTCTACCGTAAAGCTTACAAAGGTGTGATATAGTAATAACAGAGTAATGGTTAATAATTTCATCTAACTTTACTTGACATGAAAATAGTTTTGCTAGCAATAAGAACTGAATACTAGTTTTATAATTTATAAAGTAATTTATATTATTTCAAACCAAATCTTCCAAATGATTTGTATTAACTATGACTCCAAAGCAAATTTACTACTTAGTGAGTGAACTATTGGGTCTTGTAACAACATAGAAAATGGAGCCACATTTTTACTTTCTAACATCAGACAAGAAAACAAAGACCCATTTCCGAGAAACTAAAACTATCCACCAGTATGAAAGAGTGAAAACATTTTCCAGTGTATAGATTTAATATTACTGTGTCAGTAGACATCATTGAAATTAAGACAGAAAGAAAAGTGATGATATTGGATTGTTAGGAAAGTCATGACACAATTTTTCTTTTTCTATGCAAAAATGCATCATGACTTTTCTGATAACCCAGTATAATCCCAGAAACCAAAAGATGAAACAGGGATGTTCAGCATGAAGCCCAGATAAGAACAGATAGAGAGTAGTAATCTATCCATATATCTTAAGTGACATCGAAAGAAGGTGCCCTGTTATATAGGATTAAATTTTCTCTCTGTGGGGCAGGAATATTTCCCCAACTTTTTCACAGAAGTACTACATGTTCTCATGCGTATTTGGAAGCTATCAATAAAAATGTTGACCTCGTAGAAGTAGAGAGTAGAGCCTTTTGGCTGGAACCACCATCTTCCAGTAATTAGCCAAGAAGACGAGCACAAAGGAAAAGAGAGGCACCTGATATATGTTCTAGAAAACATGGAGTGGTTCCTTTGGCAACATACATGTGAATCTACAAGAATTGTGATATTGTAGACCTCAAGGGAATGGTACTGTTAAAATAGGAATGCCTCACAACTGTTACCATTGCCAAACTTGAAGAGTCTATAATGTTGGGAACCAGCAGTTAGCGTAATGGCTATGTCGCTGGACTCCCACATAGTCGACCGCGGTTCGTGTCCCAGACACGGTGGCTTAAAACTCACACCGGGTGCGTGTGCGTGCGTTTCCAGGATCCTGAGAGGAGAATGGAGGAGAAGGGATTGCGGCGTGACCATCCCCCCTGGGGGGTGATTTCTCGCTTTCTGTCTCTATGTCTTTCTCTGACTGTCTGGTGAGCGCATGCGCCCTACAGTGAAAATCTCTCCAAAAAAAAAAAAAAAAGAGTCTATAATGTTACCCAGCATTTTGCTGGTATTGTTGTAAAGAAGTAAGTTAAGGGTAGGATTCTTGTCAAGAGAATTAATGTATGTATTGAGCATACTAAGCATTCTAAGAGCAGAGATAGCTTCCTAAAATGTATGAAGGAAAATGATCAGAAAAAAAAGGAAGCCAAAGAGAAAGGTACCTGAGTTCAACTGAAGTGCAGTCTGCTCCACCCAGAGAAGCACACTTTGTGAGAACCAGTGGAGAGGAACCTGAGCTTGTGGAACCTATTCCCTATGAATTCATGACATGATGGGTGTTAAAAACAAACCAACCTATGGTCTATTAAAAGAGAGAGAGAGAGAGAGAGAGAGAGAGAGAGAGAAGCAATAGAATAGTAGTTACTAGGGCCTAGACAGAGGGTGGGAGAGAATAGGGAGATGTTAGTTAAGGCATTTCCCAGGTGCTGGGAATATAAATAGGGTATGATCTCCTAGAAGCAGGCATTGTAGTAAGGAAAACAGACAAGAGAATCAGTTATAATAGCCCAGGGTGGTAAGTGATGCATTAGAAGTATACACATGATGACCTGAAAGTACAAAGGAAAAGCATTTAAATCCAACTCTTCCTTATCACCTGTTTTAACTAATGTTTAGAGGATGTGTAGGAGTTATGTGTGGGGAAAGTTGGGTTTCAATGAAGACAAAAGAGATGAAGAAAGAGTTTCCTTATAAAGCAATGCAATGCAAACATTGTGAAACTATGTTCCACAGCATAAACAATGCAAACATTACAAAGCAGTATTCCACAACATAAAGTGGAAAGGAGTGACAGGAGTAGTGGGTAGAAGAGCTGAAGAATGACAATAAAGAAGAGAGACCTTAGGTTTAAATTTTAATTCTCCCTGTTACTACTTGTGAGATTTGGCATGCTACTTTATGAATTTTTCTTTCTTTATTTATAAAATTGAGTTAATAAAGCTGTTCATAAAGCTTTTCTGAGTAGCCAGTACTAGCAGTTAGTAGCCAGTTAAGTAACTAGAAGGCAATCAATAGAAGATGTCAATTATTAATAATAACAAATGCACATGAATACATTATGGTATATTTATTAGGTCATTGGGAAGGTCAGAATGTATTTTTCTATGCCAAAATGTATCTTGACCTTCCCAATGACCCAGTATATTGCAGACTTATAGTCCAAACTGGTTTACTGAATTGTATACTTTTTTGCCATAGGACTCGTACACTTGCCAGAGAGACAGAGAGTGAGACAGAAAGTGAGAAATCAGGCCATGCCACAATCCTTTGTCATCCATGCTCCTCTTGGGATATTGGGCACATATGCACATGCAACTGATGTGATTTTTAAGCTGCCAGGTTGAGGCTTGAACTGTGGTCAGCATGTGGAAGGCCCGTGCCTAACCACCATGCCACCTGCTGGTCCTAAGCTGTACACTTTTAAAGAGTGAGTTTAATGGTATTGTAATTATATTTTAATTTTATTTTAAAATTTCTTTTTGTATCTTTTATTTATTTTTAAAATTTATTTATTTAATTCCACTTGTTATTATTATTATTTTTAATTTGACCAGAAAGACAGAGAGAGAGAGAGACAGAAAAGCAAAGTGAGAAAGCAAGTTGCCTGGTCCAGGACTTGAACCGTGGTCAGCCATGTGGGAATCCAGCTCCTTTAACCACTATGCCACTGGGCAGCCCCTAAATTTCTTTTTAAAAAATTACTTAATTTTATTTATTCATTCATTTATTTTAATTTGAGCAGAGAGAGACAGAGAGAGAGAGAGAGAGAGAGAGAGGGAAAGTGAGAAAGCAAGCCATCAGGTCTGGGACTTGAACTGTGGTTGACCATGTGGAATTATCCAGTGCCCTAACCACTGGGTCACCCACTGGTCCCATTATATTTTAATTTTAAAAGTTGGTTAAATCAATACTTTTTTTTGGTATGTTCAAGCATTTTATATCAAGTAAATCATAATTTAAAACACCCTACCTTCCATTTCGTTAAGGATTTTAGTGAGTAAATGTTTTTCTCCATCTGAATCCATTCTTATTATAATCAGCACCTAGTCAAAAGTGAGAATAATTATGAATGATTTCTTCAAAGTGTGGTACAGTGACAAAAATAACAAACTTAATAGTTCACATGAAACTAATTACAGTAAGATTATAAAGTAAATATTGGTGTAAAAGATAAAAATGCAAAAACAAAAACAAAAACAGACACCAATGCTTAAATGCAAAGGAATAAATTCTAGTAAGATTAAATGTCAATGAGAAAAATATTTGGGGAGAAGGCATTTTTATAATTCCTCAAGTATCCCTATATATGTGACTATCAATATGGAAGTTGTCTCTGCTTATACTGTTAATGTTAAATTCAACGTAGACAAGTTTAAATTTGTTGGAGAAAAATAATGAGTTGCTGCTATATTTCCTATTCAACATTATAGTTCTTTGGGGTGGGGAGGAGATCAGTTTCTATTTAAAATTTCTCTTTTATTAATATAATTCATTTTAATGCTTTAAGAAAGTAACCCAAGAAACTATAAATCAAAGATAAAGACATGGAGGTGGGGAAGAGAGGAAAAAGGAAATGCTACATGTATTTGTATTCAGTTAGTGTAAGCCATTCAAAATGTTTTGTTTGATAAGGCATTTTTTCTTAAATCTTCATTAATGCAACCCTCAAATTCTTTTTTTTTTTTTGAGAGGTTTTTCGCTATAGGGTGCGTGCACTCACCAGACAGAGAGAGACATAGAGACAGAAAGTGAGAAATCACCCCCAGGGGGGATGGTCACACCGCAATCCCTTCTCCTCCATTCTCCTCTCGGGATCTTGGGCATGCACGCACATGCGCCCAGCGTGAGTTTTAAGCCACCGGGTCCGGGACGTGAACCACAGTCGACTACGTGGGAGTCCAGCAACATAGCCATTACGCTAACTGCTGGTTCCCAACCTTCAAATTCTTGACAAAAGGTAGGCAGATAATTTCTTATATAATCCAAAGCATAAACAGTGTTTTTGTTTTATTTTCATAGAATCATATGAGATTCTGGCTGAATCTCTAAAAATAAACCATTGTAAATAGTTCTATTACTACGAATACATTCGTGGACTTATATAAATACCAGACTCAAAAATATTTTTTTAGTTTATTTATTTTATTTCTTAGAAGAGACACAGAGAGAGAAACAGGCACCCTGGACAGAATGTCATCACACCACCATCCCTTCCAACCAGCCGGGACCATGGGCACATGCCCAGCATATTTTAGGTCAATTTAGGATCCAAACTGCAGTCTTCCACTTGGCTCCAGCATTGCAGAGTGGCACCTACTTCCTGTTCCAATGCAGCTGGGCCAGTGACAAAACTGTTGACATTTGGAGAACCAACCCATAGAAAATTGTGTAATAAAAATTAAAGAGATTTTTTTATTCTGTTTTTAGGCAGATTCTCACTGTGTCATGGTCTTTGTCATTCAGCCTCCTGAGTAGCTAGGACTATGGGCATGTGCCTGTCTTTTGGGGGGGCCAGGAATAGAACCTGGGCCTCCTATGTCGCCTTAACCTGTGAGTAACACTGTTTACCAGCACATGCTGGGCCAAGACTAAAGTATTTTCAAATTCAAGACATGTAAATAATGATGCAAATTATTCTTTCTCTGAGTCTGATTTGTTCTGTTAGCTTACTTCAGGAGAAAACTGTCAAAGGAGTTGTCAGTAGTATAGACTATTTCATAATTTCAAAGTTAAAAGCAAATGTTAATCTTACATCCAATTCTTATTTAAGACAACTACATTTATCTGCTTTATTCTGATACTTAACCTTAATTTGCTCTTGACTTTGCATCCAATTTAGTATCTGACATCGTAATTCTTGCATCTTGTAGTTGGTTTCAGGCGTTTTACCTCTAATGAACTGTACAATTTCTAACTGTCTCCAAATGTCATCCAATAGGGAACCAAAAATGCTTTTGTAGATATCTTTTGCATTTGACAAATATCCTGTTAAAATAAAATTAGGAGGAAAAACTGCCTTAGTCTTTTTGATCTTTGAGAAACTCCATGGTAAAGAAGCTGAATGGGGGCCAGCAGATGGCATGGTGGTTGAGGGCGTTGGACTCCTATACAGCTGACCACGGTTCAAGTCCTGGGCCTGGCAGCTTACTTTCTCACTTTCTCTCTCTCTCACTCTGTCCCTCTCTGGTCAAATAAAATAAATAAATAAATGGACAAATAAAGTTAAATAAAATAATTATTTAAAAAAAGAAGCTGAAGGGAAGTAAGAGTCATAACAGAAAGTTAACCTTTCCTTTCATCCTTTTTTTTTCCTTCCTTTTTTGGAGAAGTTTTTGCTATAGGGCACGTGCGCTCGCCAGAGACAGAGAGACAGAAAGCGAGAAATCACTTCCCATGGGGGATGGCCACACCACAGTCCCTTCTCCTCCACTCTCCTCTCGGGATCTTGGGCACGTACGCACATGCGCCTGGTGTGAATTTAAACTGCCGGGTCCGGGACTCGAACCACGGTCGACTACATGGGAATCCAGCGACATAGCCATTATGCCAACTGCTGGTCCCTCCTTTTATCCCTTTCTGATTTTGATCAGATATTGACTAATGAAACCTTTAAGACTGACTGAAGCTGAAAAATATGTACCATATATCTCTTTTAAAGCTACGTAACATATCTGGATATACTCTAGATATTTTATTATTTTACTAGGTTTAAAAAATTTCCAAAATCTTTAATTTCTAATATGTTCAAAGTAGTTTCATCTTTATTACTCAAGTAACTCATGTCCTAATTTACACACACTACTAAAAAGTAAATTACAAAAAAACTTCCTCCTTACAGTTTAGTTATATTTTATCTAGCAAAGATTCAAGGCCACAAACATGCCATCAGTACCTGAAATGTACAGGGTAAAATGTCACATCTCACATTGAAAAGTAGTAGATGAAGATTATATGATTAAATTTGTTTTAAGCTATTAAGAATCTGTAGTTCAGGGAACCAGCAGTTAGCGTAATGGCTATGTCGCTGAACTCCCACGTAGTCGACTGCAGTTCGTGTCCCAGACCCGGTGGCTTAAAACTCACGCCGGGCGCATGTGCGTGCGTGCCCAAGATCCCGAGAGGAGAATGGAGGAGAAGGGATTGCGGCATGACCATCCCCCCTGGGGGGTGATTTCTCGCTTTCTGTCTCTATGTCTCTCTCTGTCTGTCTGGCGAGCGCACGCGCCCCACAGTGAAAATCTCTCTCAAAAAAAAAAAAAAGAATCTGTAGTTCAGACACACACTAGAGAATCTTGTTATTCTAGGTGCTGATGGTTGTTAAAAACAATTTCTTTTAATGAATATAACTTGAATAAAATATATATTTCATTATGTCAAAATATATATAATACTTAATGTAATAGATGTAAAAGAAGGCTACATAATTTTGTGTAAGGTATATCTTTTTCAGAAAAGTAAGTTATTTTCAGATTAAATATTTCAATAAGAAGAAAAGAGGAATTAAAATTTTCTCCACAAACCTAATGCTGTGTCCAAGTTGCATGCTAAAAGGATATCTCTAATTGTTACCAGGAAGTGTAAGAGAGCGGCATACTTGAATGTCATTTCTCTGTCATGATTTTTACCTAAGTAAACAAAAAGATATTTAGAAACATAAACTATATATTAGAAATTTAATTTATGTATCAGAATCTTTCTCTTTTTTAAAGTTTTTGTTACAGGTTACGTGTGCTTGATGGAGTGAGACAGGGAAAGAGAAATAACTTCCTGGGTAGCGGGGTGATGGCCACATTACATCCCTTTTCCATTCTCTTCTTAAGATTTGGGGCATGTGCTCATATATGCCTGGCAAGATTTTCAAGTTGCCGGGCCCAGGACTTGAATTGTGGAGGCAGCTATGTGAGATCCATTGCCTTAACCTCCATGCTGTCTTCTGGTCCCAGAATCTTAATAATAAGAGCTAACAGTTATTATTGAGTACTTACTATATGCCAAACTGTATATAAACTGATTATTGAATTGAATCCATAATAGCTGTCCTATCAAATAAGTTCATCATGATCCTCACTTTATAGATGAGGAAATAGTCTGTTGAGACTAAGTAACTATCCAAGGTCATTAGTAAGTAAATGATGGAGCTGGCTTTTAAACCCAGACAGTTAAACTTAGAGTTCATACTTTGTTACTTCCAAAAAATATTCAATTTTTTTTTTTTCTGTTAAAAGCTTTATTTCCATTTGGTCCAAGGCATAGGAAAGGGCTACAGGGTGGTTAAAAAGCTTCAGGCCAGAGAGTGGCGTGGTGGTTAAAGGCACTGGATTCCCACATGGCCGACCAATAGTTTGAGTCCCGGACCTGGCAGCTGGCTTTCTTGCTTTCCCTTTCTCTCTGTCTCTGTCTGGTCAAGTTAAAAAAGGATAATAACAAGCGGAATTAAATAAATAAATAAGTCTTTTTTTTTTTTTTCCTTTTTTGTTATAGGGCGTGTGTGCTCGCCAGAAAGACAGAAAGAGACAGAGAGACAGAAAGTGAAGAATCCCCCCCCAGGGTGGATGGCACACCGCAATCCCTTCTCCTCCAGTCTCCTCTCTGGATCTTGGGCACACACACACACCCGCGCCTTGGGTGAGTTTAAGCCACTGGGTCCGGGACTCGAACCGCGGTCAACTACATGGGAGTCCAGCAACATAGCCATTACGCTAACTGCTGGTCCCAAATAAATCATTCTTAACAAGAAAATAAAAGGGAAAAAAAGCTGCCAAGTGGCGGGAGCGAGAGACTTGGAAGCTGATACCAGAAGTTGCAGGGACCCCAGGTTGCTGGGCTCCGGAGGCCCCTAGTTGTGTTTCAGGGTGAATCTTTCCAAAAGATACTCTACCAGCCCAGCTTGGGGTTCCCCTAGGCTACAAAGGTTAATCAGGTGGTCGCCCATCTTGTTGATAAGTTTCACCTCCTCATCTAGGAAGTGGGTCTCCAGGAAGTCACAGAGATGGGGGTTGGTGTAGGTCGGTGTGGGTAGAACCCAGAGCATGAAGATCCAAAAGGGCCTGATTCAGACTCTTCTCTAGGGCCATGGTCAGCTTCTATGGCATCCAGAGTTTACCCCACTCATCCTGAGATGGCTCCTGCATATCTTGGAAAAGAGCCTGGAACACAGCGCTGGTGTTACATCTTTGTGTTTTCTGCTATTTTTAGGGTCAGGTCAAGTTGATTAATAGTGTTATTTGAGTCTACCATCTCCCCATTCACTAGAGTTGCTCAGTCTCATTTAGTAATATTAGAGATAACAGGTGGCATGGTGGTTAAGGAGACTGGATCCCACGTGGCCGATTGTGTAGGCATAGGTTGAGTCCTGGATTCTGGGAGGATGATGGAGGAGAAGGGATTGCAGTGTGGCCTTCCCCTCTAGCAGCTGATTTCTCATTTTCTCTCTCTTTTCCTCTCTCTGGCAAGTGCATGCACCCTATAACAAAACTAAAACTAAAAACGGAAAAAGAAAGAAATATGAAATCTCTGACTTAGATTTGTCTTTTCTTCCTAATAGTTCTATCAGATTTTTCTTCATGTATTTGGAAACTGTTATTAAGTACAGAAGCATTTAGGATTGTTATGTTTTCTTAATAAACTGATCACTTATTATAAAATGACCAGGAATGAAAAATATCCCTGATTATATTCTTTACTCTGAATTCAATTGACTTTGTATGATATTGATATAACCACTCCACCTTTCTTTTGACTAGTGTTAACACTATATAGCCTCTTATAATTTTTCACTTTTAATGTGTCTGAGTCTTTATGTTTGAATTGTGTTTTTCCTATAATCTGAAAATTTATGCCTTTTTAAACATTATTTAATTTTGTTTATTCATTCATTTTAATTTGACCAGACGCACACACACACACACACAGAGAGAGAGAGAGAGAGAGAGAGAGAGAGAGAGAGAGAGAGAGAGAGAGAGAGAGAGAGAGAGAGAGAGAGAGAGAGAGAAGAAAAGTGAGAAAGCAAGCCCCCAGGTTCAGAATTCAAATCATAGTCAGCCATCTGAGTGTCCAGTGCCTTAACCACCATGCCACCTGCTGGGCTCTGCCTTTTTAATATGAATATTTAAACCTTTAATTTAGACCTTTATTTAATGTATTTATGCTTTATAATATACATCTAAAAATTTAAAATCTACTTTCTAGAGCTATTATACCAGTTCACAAATGGTATAAGAATGTTATAATAGCTACTTTCATTTCTCCCTCCCAGGACTTTATATTATCATCATGTGTTTTCTTTTTATAAATATTATAAACATTCCATTACATTGCTTTTTTTTTTTGTTAAAACAGTCAATTATTCTTTAAAGAGATTCAAATAATAAGAAAATGACTTCTTAGCCTTTTTAGCTGAGATCAAATGTAGTAAATAGTAAGAAAAATCTCTTAGATATTTGCCCATGTAGTTACTATTTCTGGTGATCTTCATCCCTTTGGGTGTATATATATTTCCATTTGGTATCATTTTTCTCTGCCTTTAGGACGTACTTTAACATTTTGTGCAGTTCAGGTCAGTACCTGATTAATTCTTTCAGCTTTTATTTATCTGAAAACTTATTTTGCCTTCATTTGTTAAATATATTTCTACATAGTATAGAAAACTAAATTGATATTTTTCATTCAGCATTTTTTAAATGTTACTTCACTGTCTTTTTTTTTTTTTCTTTTTTGAGAGAGATTTTTGCTATAGGGTGCATGTGCTTGCCGGAGAGACAGAGACAGGGAGACAGAAGCAATAAATCACAGCACACCTCCTTCTCCCCCCACGGGGGACGGCCCCGCCATAATCCCTTCTCTTCCATTATTCTCTTGGTATTTTGGACATGCATGCATACACATCTGGTGTGAGTTTCAAGCCAGGTCCAGAATTCAAACCACAGTCCGCCAGCACCTCAACCACCATGCCACCTGCTAGCCCTCTCTGCTATCTTTTGCTTGTATTATTTCCGACAAGAAATAATGTTGCATTTCCCCCAAGGTACTCGTACGGTTTTCTTTTCTTATTGGTTTTGAGCAATTTGACTGCACTGTGCTGAAGCTTTCTTCTTGCTTCTTGTTCTTATAATTCATTGTCTTGGATCTGCGAGTGTGTAGTTTTCATTCAGTCTGAAAAGTTTCAGTCATTTTTTTATTCAAACATTTTTTATGTTTATCCCCTTATTCTGCTTTAGGAACTCAAATGACCCATGGGCCATCTGAAGTTTTTCCATAGTCCATTTGTGCTCTTTTATTTCCTTTTCTTGCTTCTTGTTCTTATAATTCATTGTCTTGGATCTGCGAGTGTGTAGTTTTCATTCAGTCTGAAAAGTTTCAGTCATTTTTTTATTCAAACATTTTTTATGTTTATCCCCCTTATTCTTCTGCTTTAGGAACTCAAATGACCCATTGGGCCATCTGAAGTTTTTCCATAGTCCATTCGTGCTCTTCTATTTCCTTTCCTTCACGCCTTTCCTTTTTCTTCCTTCATTCTTCATTTACTCCAGCTTTATTCTGAATAGTTTTTATTGCTACACTTTCAAGTTAATTTTTTCTTCTGCGATATTGAATCTGTCATTATTCCTATTTCATCTCATCTATTTAATCTCTAGAAGTTTCAAATGGGTCTTTCTTGGGACTCTAACTTTTTGAACATGTGGAAAACAATTGTAATAAGTTTCAGTGTCCTCCTCCAATGGCTCTACTATCATTGTTAGTTCTGGGTTTGTTTTGATTGATTATTCTCATTGTGGGTTGTGTTCTGGCTTTTTGTATGCCTGGTAGTTTGACTGGATACCGGACACTGTGAATTTTACCTTGTTGGGTGCTGAATACTTTTGTATTCCTATAAATCCCCTTAAGCTTTGTAGTGGGATGCAGTTAAGTTCCTTGGAAATAGTGTGACCTTTTGGGTCTTGCTTTTGTGATTTGCTAGGCAGTTCCAGAGCAACGCTAAGTCTAGAGATGATTATTGCCTAGAACAGGCAAGACTTTTCTGAGTACTCTACTTACTCCACTTAATCCCACATGAATGATGAGTTTTTCTTGTAGGCAGGTGGGAACAGATATTTTTCTGAACTGAGTGAATGCAGCACATTCTTCCTTCTAATTCCTTCAGATGGTTTGTTTCCCCAACCTTAGGCTATTTCCTCACACATGATTTCTTTTATCAGTATTCTGCTGAATACTTGAGGAAGTCCTGCAGATCTCTAAGACTCTGTGTGAAGTTCTCTGCTCTCTAATATTCTGTTCTTAAGCTCTAGGGACATTAATCTCCTTAAACTGTCTGTTCTGATTATCCTACAGGCTCTGCTGCAGGTTCTCCTCCCTATGCCATGGCCTGGCCTGGTGTAATGGTAGGTTCCCCTCGCTTGTTTCCCATCCCTCAGGAACCAATGTCCTTTATTACTTGAAGCCCATGGTCCTAAAAACTAGTTTCATGTACTTTGTCTTTGCCTTTTGTTGTTATCATTTCTGGCAAGAGGGTAAATCTAGTTCCTTTTACTCTATCTTGACACAAGAAACATTCTAAGACTAAATTGAACTGATTTATTGTTTATCTTCCCCTTCCCTTTTTTGGGAGTAATCCAAATGGTTTGGATACTAATTAATAGTATGATTAATTTAGTTTCTGTATTAGAAATCTGTCAAGTAATATATGTCAAATAGGAACTTCATTGAGAAGCAATAGCAGGCAATATTTCTTACTTTTTCCTCTTAGCTAATCCTCCAGTATTGGTTTTTGGGTGTGGGGGGGAGTACCTTCATCTGTGACTAATTTCTGCATCATTTATACTCAGTTATTCTAATTTTATACAATAATTTATAAACTTACATCCTTTTAAATAGTGTTACTTTGTTTTGGACTTACCTTGGTGAACAGTATCATTTAGTATTTTTTCTTGTTCCTTTAAGAGGAACCTTGTTTGGTCAAAAGTAACAGTGGCAAATTTCCAATTAGCAGCAGGGAGAGTACATAGGCATAAAAGATTTTTTAAGATAGGAGCAGCTGCTGCTTCTAGAAGGCAGTGTGCCTGGCATTGGCTATCTGTAAAAATAAAAGCATTAAAGGCAATGTTTTTTCAGGATGGCAAGTTCTTTTTGATAAAGCAATTAAATATTTTCTATCTATCCAATCTCATTTCTGGGTTAAAAAGCATGATATTGAATAGAGATTTATTTCAGGATATTTACTCTAAATAGACTAGTAAAAACAAGCAAAAAATTTGTAGGATTATATAATTTTATGCTAGCTTATTTAGCATAAAGAATTCATTTAGTAACTAATTTAACATGATAGCTATGGAGAGACATAAAAAGGGGATCACATAATTATTTTTCTTTTTCCTCTTACACTATTTATTAGCTTGCAGCCTTGGGCTGAATACATGTGTAATGATGACAGTCTTTCTTTTTTCTTTTTTTAACTAGAAAATAATTGTTTAAAGATCTGCATAATCACCTAGAAAATGATAAACAAAATTAAATCCAAAGAATAAAAATATTTTGAGAATTAGTGTTGTATTTCCTTATTTATTTTGGTAATGAGCACAATATTTCTTTTTTTTTTTTTGAGAGAGAGAGAGTTTCTGCTATAGGGCATGTGTGTTCACCGGAGAAACAGAGACAGAAAGATATCAAGTGAGAAACCCCCCCCACCCCAGGGGAGGTGGCTACACTGCAATCCCTTCTCCTCCATTCTCCTCTCAGTATTTTGGGCACGCACGTACACATGGCCTGCGTGAGTTTTAAACCACTGAGTCTGGTACTCCAACGGCAGTTGACTGTGTAGGAGTCCAGCAATGTAACCATTATGCCATCTGCTGATCCCGAGCATAATATTCTTAAACAGTGGTTCTTTTTTTTTTTTTTTGGAGAGGGTTTTCGCTATAGGGCGTGTGCACTCGCCAGACAGAGAGAGAGAGACATAGAGACAGAAAGCGACAAATCACCCCCCAGAGGGGATGGTCACGCCGCAATCCCTTCTCCTCCATTCTCCTCTTGGGGCCTTGGGCACGCACGCACACGCGCCCGGTGTGAGTTTAAGCCACCGGGTCTGGGACTCGAACCGCGGTTGACTACATGGGAGGTCAGTGACATAGCCATTATGCTAACTGCTGTTCCCAAACAGTGGTTCTTTAGGAGTCAAAGAACTTTCTCCTTTATCACAAATCAAAACAAAATAAAATCAATGTAAGAATCAATAGTTACTTTTTTTTTTTTTGGAGAGGGTTTTCGCTATAGGGCGTGTGCACTCGCCAGACAGAGAGAGAGAGACATAGAGACAGAAAGCGACAAATCACCCCCCAGAGGGGATGGTCACGCCGCAATCCCTTCTCCTCCATTCTCCTCTCGGGATCTTGGGCACGCACGCACACGCGCCCGGCGTGAGTTTTAAGCCACTGGGTCCGGGACGCGAACCGCGGTTGACTACGTGGGAGTCCAGCAACATAGCCATTACGCTAACTGCTGGTTCCCAATAGTTACTTATTTTTATCATCCTCATGTAAGAGAACAGAAGAGTAAGAGTAACAGAACAGAGAGAGCAACTATTAGCAGTTCATTTTTCAGACTGGGCAAAAGAGTTTGAGAAATTGCACTTTGTTGGGACCAGCAGTTACCGTAATGCTAGACTCCCACGTAGTCGACCGCGGTTCGCGCCCCGGACCCGGTGGCTTAAAACTCACGCCGGGCACGTGTGCATGCATGCCCAAGATCCCGAGAGGAGAATGGAGGAGAAGGGATTGTGGCATGACCATCCCCCCTGGGGGGTGATTTCTCACTTTCTGTCTGTCTCTCTCTGTCTCTCTGGCAAGCGCACATGCCCTATAGCAAAAACCTCTCAAAAAAAAAAAGAAAGAAAGAAATTGCACTTTGTTCTTCTCTGATAGATACAGAGAAGCAGCAGCGATTTGAATGAAAGAAGTAATGCTTACTAGACTGAAGTAGGGCAATGGAAAAGGCAGAGCATTTCAGATCTTTAAGTGACTTGAAAATAGGAGCAGGATAAAGAGATACCTGAAACAAGTGAAGAAAACTACACGGAAAATAAGATATGTCTTAGGAATCTAGAAAAAACTTTCAAATAAAGTAAATTTAGAAGACTATTTAGGCATGCAGCATACCTGACGCTTGAATTTCAATGACACTGTCTGTTCCCCTTTTCTGATTTGTTGTCTCTAAGGTTTTAGTAGTATAAGCAATAGGACTTTCTTCTTGAAGAGTCAAAGAACAGACTTCCTTATCTTGAAATTCTAATAAAAATATTAATTTGCATTATTCAGGAAAATTGCTTTACTTTAATGTTTATTCTAAAATATGATCCTAATTGTTGATTTCTTCATTGAAACACATCAATAATAAATTGAACAACTACTAACTAACACTGCTGGGTGAGAAGATGAATGGTTAAAAATCAATAGGACGATGGCATCAGATATCAGTGTTTCAATCTCACACACTAGCCTCCGTTTTTCTCATACATAAAATATGGATAAACATGCCTACTTTAAAGGTTGTTATAAGGATTAAATACCAAATACAGTTTCTGATACAAATTCGGCATGTACTGCTATATTTCATTTCTTTTTCCCCATTTGACTTTCCACATACCCTTCCTTCTGTTAGCAAACTTCTCCTCTGACTAAGCCTTCTGGTTTCCACCCTTTCTTTTCTTTTCTTTTTTTTTTTTAATGACAGAGAGCATGTGCACATGAGAGAAAGAGATAACCACCCCAGTCAAGGTCTCATCTCACTGCAATCTCCTTTCCCCACTCTCCAGCACCTCAGAATCCTGGGCACCAGCACATGCGCTCAGCATTTTCAGGCTGATCCAGGAATCTGAGCCCATGGTTGGAGTCTAGCCTGGCAGGGAACTTGCATTACTGCCTTCGTCCTTCCTTAACCAATTCTTAGGCTAATTCTTACTACGCCTTTGTCAGACTTACTTTTCTGTAAGAAGTGTTATATAACTGCCCACTCTCATCCAGATCACCAAAGTGACCCTCCTTTTGTTTCTTCAGCACTCAGGCATCCCTTTCTCTAGATATTTTCCACACTGTATTGAAATTATATTATCTGCACGTCTGGCTGGCCTACTCTATTACACTGTGAGCTTCTCGGGGCAGCAACATAGTTATTTCTAAGCAGTAATTTAGTGCCTGAGCATTCAATTAATTTTCTTTCTTCTTTCCTAGGCATTGTAGGGTATTTACACAACGTGCACATACACATTATGAGTCTAGTTATTCTATTTTTTAATTAAAAAAAATTTGCCAGAAGGTATGTGTGCTTGCCAGAGAGAGAGAGAGAATTCCCCCAGTGGGGTATTGTCATGCCGTAATACCTTTTCCTCTATTTCTCCAACCTGTTGGAATTTTGAGCATGCATATATATGCCTGGCATATTTTTAAGCCTGCAGGGCTGGGATTTGAACTGTGGTTGTCCATATAGGATCCAGTTCTCAATGCACAGGGTTTAACTGCTGCACTACAAGGCTGCTTCTCTAGTTATTTTAGCTAGATAATTATGTCATTTCTCTATAATATGATTACAGGATAATTTTAGAAATAAGTTACCATCTTGAAACATTTGAAATATATGAGCTTTAAATAGTTAAAATATAATGGTAGAGTATACCCTAAATTAGATTAATTATGTTATTATTTTCAAGTAATACTATCAATTAACTGTAAATAATTGGAATTATGTGATAAAATAATATTAATTATTGGAATATTTTAGGAACTCTAAGAAGCTTTTTAACATTTCTTGCCCCCAAATCAACTGTTAAATAAAATGAGAAGTAAGACATATATCAAAATATTCCCTCTATTACTAATAAAGGCTAAGATGAAAAACAGAGCTTAGTTTGAGAAGTGAATGAATTGTCACCCAAGAAGGTATATTATAAGGTGGCCAAATCATGACACTGCCAAAACCAGCAAATAAAGCTCCAGGGTTAAAAAGAAAAAAAGATAAATTATAAGGTGGTGAAAGGATTGTGTAAAAATAAACTTTAAAGTGAATATATATAAACATAAAGGATCACAAAATTCTGAAATCTTTAAATACTATTCTGCATTTTTACCAAATTTTTCACTGTGAAAAACAGACTGCTGAAAAAAAGTTAGAAATACTATGAATTTGTATGGCCATGAAGGAAACAAGTTTTACAAATAGTGACTTTTGTTTCAAATTCAAATGCACTTTCTATTTTTTTTGGAAAATACATGTCTTTATCTAAATCTACACCTACATATCCATATCTCCATATATAAAAAGTATCATGAATCCAAGCCATTTTCTCTGGCCATAAAAACTAACTTAATTATATCCAAAGAGCTTTATTTCTTTGCTTTCTATAATAAATTTTGCAGTTAGTCCTTGGCCTATCATATTTACTAAAAATACAAACTTTCACCCACCATCTTTTTCATCACTGTCTATGATCTGACCAGTCATTGAGGTGCAAGTTTTATATTTATTTCGCAGCATAATAAAGTCACTCAAAAGGTCCAAATCATTCTCCTGTTTTTTACCATGTTCAAAAGATGTTTTTTTAATTTTTGAGGATGATTCAACACATAGTACTGTGCAGTCAAGTTTAAAGTGATCTTTATTTTCTTTCTTTTGGATTATGTTATAAACTAGTTCTTGATCTTTCTTCGTTTTCTCTTCTTTTGTTGATTTTTCACCCTCAGAGATATATTCATCAGAAAAACACAAATCTGGTACTCTCGCTAGAGATGAACTTTCTTGTGGAAGTGGTAAATGATCATTTGTAGATTTCTCATTAATAAGTTCAATAGGTGAGGTGCAATGTTCATGCTCTAGACATGCTGAAACAGAAAATAGAAAACAGGGAAATGACCTCAATGCCTAAACAAGTGTTCTATTAGGGCATTAGGAAAACTTTCAGTTGCAGTTTATTATAGATATAATTAGATCCTTACGAGTACTTTATTTACTGCTTTGAAAATCAATTTTGGGGGATCCAGCAGTTAGCGTAATGGCTATGTTGCTGGACTCCCACGTAGTCGACTGCAGTTCGTGTCCCGGACCTGGTGGCTTAAAACTCACGCCGGGCGCGTTTGCGTGCATGCCCAAGATCCCGAGAGGAGAATGGAGAAGGGATTGCAGCGTGACCATCCCCCCTGGGGGGTGATTTCTTGCTTTCTGTCTCTCTGTCTCTGTCTGGCAAGCGCACGTGCCCTATAGTGAAAACCTCTCCAAAAAAAAAAAATCAATTTTGGTTTGAATAAGATAAATTTTCTTAAATAGTAAAAATTTAGTACATCTTTTTTTCTCATGATAAGAGCTAGGTTATCAAGCACAGAAGGAATCTATTTATAGGAAAGTCCTATCATTAGTAAGCTTATGAGTCACAGCCTTGGAGGTTAATGGTAAAAGCTTATATACTAGGCAAGCCAGATTGGAAAAAAATACTTGCAATACATATACCTGACAAAGGATTGTATGCAAAGAAAGAAAGAAAGAAAGAAAGAACTCTTATAACTCAACATTTAAAGGAAAACTGAATTTAAAAACTATGGGAAGATTTGAACAATCCTTCATATAAGATATGTATATTCTACAACATGGATGAAACTTGAAAACATGCTAAGGTGAAAGAAGCCAGTGAGAAAAGGACACATACTGTAGGCTGACTCTGTGTTCTAGTGGTCAAGGGAGCCAACTGCACAGTTCAAATCCCAATTTTTGCAGCTTGAAAAATACATTGGGGATCAGCAGATGGAATAGTGGTTAAGGCATTGGACTCCCACATGGTTGACTGCAGTTCGAATCCCAGACCTGGTGGCTTGCTTTCTCACTTTCCCTCTCCCTCATCTCTCTGTTTCTCTCTGGTGAATGCATGTGCCCTACAGAAAATTAAAATAATAATAATAAAAATAAAATAAATAATTCTAAAAAAGAAAAACACAATAGGTACTTGTGCATGCATGCCCCAAATCCCAACGGAACAGAGAAATGGAGGAGAAGGGGTTGTGGCATAATCACACAACATGGTGGTGGTGGGGGGGTGCTTTCTTCTCCCTCTTTGTCTCTCTGTCTCTCTGGTGAGAACATCTGCCCACTGGCAATAAAAAATTTTAAAAGAATATATATATCTTGTCTGATTCCATTTGTATGATTCTTTTCTAAGTGAAATATGAATGTTGGACACTAAAATATTTTTGTAAGTTAAAGATGATTTTTTTTGCGGGGGGAGAGGTTTTTGCTATAGGGCGCGTGTGCTCACCAGACAGAGACAGAGAGACAGAAAGCGAGAAGTCACTCCCCGGGGGGATGGCCACACCGCAATCCCTTCTCCTCCATTCTCCTCTCGGGATCTTGGGCACGCACACACATGCGCCCGGTGTGAGTTTTAAGCCACTGGGTCTGGGACATGAACCATGGTTGACTATGTGGGAGTCCAGCGACATAGCCATTACACTAACTGCTGGTCTCAAAGATGAATTTTTACAGTTCATGAATATTGTTTTTTCAAAAGCACAAACTCTAAGAGCACATTAAAAATGAGACCATGGAACTTTAGGATAAAATAGAATTATAGGATAAGCTAGTCAAACTTCTCCATTTTTTTTTTTTGGAAGAAGAAAATGAGGTCTACAGTTGGTCAGATCAATAATTCTGGCAGTGCCAGACTCAATACTGAATGCTATAACTTAGTTATAGTTATTCAATCACCTAGAGAAAATCCAGTATCTAACATTTCTCATTCTGAAAATGCTTACACAAGTCATATTTATTATTATGAGCTTACACTGTAATTGAGGCAATTTTTTAGGCAAAAATATCTCCGTTATAGTGTCACTGAAAGATAGATTATTGTAACAGAAGTATGTATTCAGATGTTCCAAAGTTTCTCTCACTATTGGATTTAGTCCTGCTTGTTTCCACCACTCTGTCATTGCATGATTAATTACAAGTCTTCCTTTTTCAACAGAAATTATCTTTTTCAAACTTGTAACTGAAGATTGACTGTTGGGCTCTTGAATTCTTGACACTTAAAGAAATAAAAAACAAATAGTGAGAAGCAGTGTACAAGGCAAAAGAAATGAAAAACACGACCACTGAATTTCTTTATAAGACATATTTTCACACATTAAAATATAAAAACTTGAAGTTATATCTGATACTCTGTTTTCAAGATGCTAATATTTGTACAAGTTCAAATTAATATAGTAATAGAAGTCACATAAAGGATTTGGTTCAATCTTTAGAAATCTTAGAGAGTTACAATTATTTCAATATTTAGTAGGAAAAGAAACTGTTATTTCATTTGACCATTTTAAATTACTAAATTAATACCTTTGAAGATTGGCCCCATAGCTAAGTGGTTCAGCACTGCATGGAAAGCCAGATCCCACATGGCTACCTGCAGTTTGAATCCTGGCCTGGCAGGCTTGAAAACCACACTGGACACCTGTGTGTGTGTATGCCCCAAATTCTCATGAGATGCAGAAATAGAGGAAAAAGGATTGAGGCATGCCTATGAGGCATGCAAATATTCCCAAGATCCTTAGAGTAGGATGGAAGAGAAGGGATTGTGGTGTGGTTATCTCCACTGGGGAGTGATTTCTCACTTCCTCTCTCTTTCTCTCTCTCTCTCTCTCTGTTATGTCTCTGATAAGACCATGCACCCTATAACAAAAACTGAAAAATAAAAGTAAAAAAAAATGACATTTCTACTGATTGTTACCTATACTTTCTATTCACCATTTGAAAGTGATTAATCTTTACCTGTAAGCGAAAATGGGTTCAAAGAGCTTCTGCAATGTTCTAATTGCCACATCATACAGTATTTATTAGCTGCATCTTCAGCAGTAAGCAAACTACAGAAAAAGAAGTTAAAATTTAATAACAATATATTAATAATATTGAGCCTCTAAATGTTTTACACTCAAAAGCAAGTGAAAAATTAACTCCTAATATAAATGTGTAAACTGAAGCTGAGTTTCATATATCCAAATTGCAAATACTGACTTCCTCTCTTCCTGGGGAAGTTTGGTAATTTGTAAAGTTGGTAATCGCTCCTGCTTCCTTCTCCCCCAGTGGCCTTATTCCAGAACAGCAAACTAATCTACCTTAGAAAACATTAAGTTACATGTATGCCACAGGGTATAAGATAGTAACCAAAGCTATCTTAGACTCAGTCAAAGGACAAGGATGCTGGGCTATTAAGCTATACTATCAATTTTGGCTCAAACTAGAATACAATGATCTAGCCCTGCAGTATCAATTCTAAGATTACAGACCATTCTGTGCAGAAACAAGAGGGTACTGAATAAATTTATGGATCATATCTTAGTTCTGCAGTGGTTCCAATGATGAGTCCACATTGACAAAGGTGAATAAGGTAGCAGTGGATGTCTTCAGTTAGAGATGGGCTGTGACCCTGGCCCTCCTTGGGGGAGTAATTTGATAGTCGAGTGTGTTGATCAGCTATTGCACTGCTCTGTAATCTTGGCTATTCCAGGCTGGAGACCTAGGACAAATCTTTTAGAAGACCTTGTAACAACCCTGTAAGGTAGCTACTATTATTATCCCAGTATTGCAGATAAAGAAACTGAACCGCAGAAAAACTGAGGTCACAAGAGTTAGTTAAGTGACCAAATCAGTAGATCTGGCTCTAGTTTAGAGCTTTTAACCACTTTTTAATGGGATGAATTTTCCTCCCCCCAACAAAAACAATTTCATACGTTGAAGCCCTAATCCTCAGTACCTCAGAATGTGACTTATTTGGAGACAGGGAATTTAAAGAGGTAATTAAATTAAATGGAATTGTTAGGGTGCATCCTAATCCAACATGACTGGTTTCCTTATGAGATGAGATGAGATGAAGACACAGACAAAAATGAAGGAGAGATCATGTGGAGACAAAGCCCCAGAGAAAGGCCCTGGAATGAAACCAATCTGCTGATGCTTTATTTTCAGACTGCTATCCTCCAGAACTGTGAGGAAATAAATTTCTGTTTTTAAAGACACCCAGTCTATGGTATTTGTTATGGCAGCTCTAACACACCAATAATGCTACTGCATTGCCTTTCATGGCAGAAAGTGCCAGCAGAGGTAGTGCTATTGGCAAGTATCCACTGGCAATGTTCTAAGTAGATTATTCCAATGCCAGAGTTTTCATAAAATTTTCTATTATTTATTTATTTTATTTAACTTTATTTATTTATTTATTTTATTTGACCAGAGAGGGAGAGAGTGAGAGACAGAGAGAGAGAAAGAGAGAGGGAAAGTAAGAAAGCAAGCCACCAGGCCCAGGACTCAAACCATGGTCAGCCATGTGGGAGTCCAGCACCTTAACTACTGTGCCACCTGCCGGTCCCCTATTATTTATTTTTAATGGTAATATAATAATGTTAAAAATACTAACTGTATAAAGTATCATATTGTGAAAAATTTTCCTACCCTTATTGCCAGAGTACTTAGTTCCCTCCTCGACACAACCAACGTTTCTTGTTTCTTATGTGTCCTTATAAAGATACTCTATGCGTATAAGGCCAAATATGTACATACATATTCATATATTCCCTTCAATTGCTATAGACACTATACTGTTTCTTACATTTTTAAAAATAGAAGTATCTTGGAAAATGCCTCTATATGGAGAGATTTAGTTAAAGATCACTTGTTTTGAATTGCAACTTGTGTTCTAGATGTAATCTTTACTTACATTTTACAAACTGGAGAAATTAAAAATGTCTGAAGTTCTACACAGAATGAAGTCACTGAAGAACGTTGGCTTCTTGGGTGTAGAGGAGTTAGGGGCATTTCTAACTCTGCTGAAATATTGATAATGATTATGTTTCATAAACACTGAGTAAACTTAAGCATAATTCAGAACTTTTTATAAGCAAATTGTTAGATCATTGTTGTGGCAAGAATATTTTAATAAAAAATGTGAGTTACTTGATATACAAAATCATAGTTTTCAATTTACATCTATGTAAGGAATTAAATGTATATATACACATGGTATCTCAACTATGATAACGATGATTTTTAAAACATACATTGACAACAAACTTTATTGAGTTGTCTGTATATAAGAAATTCTAAGAACTTTATGTGTAATACTTCTTTTAATTCTGGCAGTTTAATTCTGGCAGTTTACTTAAAAGAGTAATATTTTTATCTCCATACTTGGTATTCATGATGCAAAGCAAATAGTATTATTCCAAGCAGTTCTACACCTTAATAAGTCAGTTGTGGGTGGCTAACACAGTTAAATTTTTTTTTTTTTTTTTGGAGAGGTTTTTCACTACAGGGCGCGTGCGCTCGCCAGACAGACAGAGAGAGACATAGAGACAGAAAGCGAGAAATCATCCCCCAGGGGGGATGGTCACGCTGCAATCCCTTTTCCTCCATTCTCCTCTCGGGATCTTGGGCACGCACGCACACACACCCGGCGTGAGTGTTAAGCCACCGGGTTCGGGACGCGAACCGCAGTCAACTACGTGGGAGTCCAGCGACATAGCCATTATGCTAACTGCTGGTTCCCCACAGTTAAATATTTTATAGGGTAGGCCTGATAAAGTGATATTCAGGGCTGGCAGGTAGCATAGTGGTTAAAGCACTGGACTCCCACAAGGCCAACTGTGGTTTGAGTCCCAAACTTGGTGGCTTGCTTTCTCTCTCTCTCTCTCTGGTCAAAATGAAGAACAATAATAATTTAATTTAATTAATAATTCTTAAAAAAAGAAAAACTGATCCTCATATTATTTTAAGTAGTCAATGTAGTTTTATCACTTTCATAAATAAAGCATTAAATTTTCAAATGGAGATTAAAATGATTCACTTATAAATGTAACTAAATAACAGTATCATCAATATCGTCAGGAAGCAACATAATTTAGTATTACACTGGAACAAAAGATGATTCTGAGATTCCAAATTTTTAAAAAATATTTATTTAACTTTATATATTCATTCATTCATTTTTAATTTGACCAGAGAGTCACACACAGAAAGAGAGAGAGAGAGAGAAGGTGAGAAAGCAAGACACCAGGTCCAGGATTTGAACCATGGTCAGCCACATGGGAGCATCCAGCACCTTAACCACCACACCACCTGCTGGTCCCATGAGATTCCAAATTTGATAGGACAATAATACTAACAATGATGCACCAAAGAATGATAGTATTATCTTGGGGTATTATAAGGTTAAATTTTAAAAAAGTGTAACAAAGGTTAACAAGACTGCTAATACTGGGATAAAATATAAAATTTGATTTACTGAGCTACAATATTTTAAGATTTATTTTTTCTTTCTTTCTTTTTTTTTTTTTTGAGATGTTTTTGATATTGGTCATGTGCACTCACCAGAAAGACAGAGATATAGAGACAGAAAGTGAGAAATCACCCCCCAGGGAGATGGCCATGCTGCAATCCCTTCTCCTCCATTCTCCTCTCTGGACCTTGGGCACACACTTGCACGCACCCGGCATGAGTTTAAGCCACCAGGTCTGGGACTCGAACCGTGGTCAACTACATGGGAGTCCAGTGACACAGCCATTATATTATATAAGCCAATTGCTGGTCCCAAGATTTCTATATTCAATATTAATTATTCCTCTTCCCCAATCTTTGTAATTCTCCTCTAAATATTATTCAGTTTTGATGCTGGTAGGATTCCGATTTAATGATAGTAATTAAGTAATAATGGAATAAAAGAAAAAACCAATTAAGATTACAATAATCAACTTTTAAAGACATTTTTGCTACAGGGTACATGTACTTGCCGGAGAGACAGAGACAGACATAGAGAAAGTGAGAAATCACTCGAGATGGCCATGCTGCAATCCCTTCTCCTCCATTCTCCTCTCTGGACCTTGGGCACACACTTGCACGCACCCGGCATGAGTTTAAGCCACCAGGTCTGGGACTCGAACCGTGGTCAACTACATGGGAGTCCAGTGACACAGCCATTATATTATATAAGCCAATTGCTGGTCCCAAGATTTCTATATTCAATATTAATTATTCCTCTTCCCCAATCTTTGTAATTCTCCTCTAAATATTATTCAGTTTTGATGCTGGTAGGATTCCGATTTAATGATAGTAATTAAGTAATAATGGAATAAAAGAAAAAAACAATTAAGATTACAATAATCAACTTTTAAAGACATTTTTGCTACAGGGTACATGTACTTGCCGGAGAGACAGAGACAGACATAGAGAAAGTGAGAAATCACTCCCTGAGGGTTGGCCAGGCTGCAATCCCTTCTCCTCCATTCTCCTGAGATTTTGGACACATGTACACACACTCCCAGTGTGAGTTTAGGGCCTCCAGATCCAGGACTAAAACCATAGTTGATCATGTGAGTGTCCAAAGCCTTAACCACAATGCCAACTGCTGTTCCCAGAATAATCAAATTTTAAACATCAAAATTGACTCATAGAAAGCTGTATATGTGAATGTATGTATTACACTTTTATATCATATTATGTAACTCCTGATACACTCCATAATATATTCAAAATTTCTACCTGGTTCACGGCACTCTGGTTCACTCTGGCTTTGAACAGTCAAAATCTCTATGGAGCTGCATTTTATATCTTCAGTGTCAGATCCTTGGTTAATAGATCAGAAAAGAAAAGGAAGAAACTCTGCTATTAGCAAAAGTACCATTAAATTACATTTTTGTAACCTTGTTTACTGGCTTTCTCCTTTAGATATATCTTTATTGATTTATAGTAAGTCAATTTTCCTTTCAGAGAAAAGTAGAGATTTAGACTTTTGAATAAAATCCTGATATAATAGGTGAATTAGCACCCCCTATGTTCCCCATGCATATCCACAATTGACTCCTTAACAGTCAATCAAATTTATCAAGAAAGATAAAAATGGGGAAATCTATATAATCATTAGAAACTAAAATAAGTGAGCAATTCATAGCCTTAAACGTCAAAGAATGAGATTTTTAAGGATTTAATCTTCATCAATACATGTTGATGTTCTATGCCCCATTTAGGAGGAATTCTACTTGTCTATATTAATCTTGCCCTTTTGACTTCCTTTTTTCAGCTAACATATTTTGCCTATGTCTTTATTTTCTACCTTTTTTTCCCAGAGGATTAATTCTATTATTCAGAGGGCTTTTTTCTGTATTGATTTGGAAGTTATACAGCTTATTTTAAAATCATACCTTGTTATTAATTTGAAAATATATATACATTTTCATCTTTTTTGGTATCAGTTTAAAAAGACAGCATCTCAGTTCCCCTATCAACATGAGGAACTTAGCATATTCTTCCACAAAACTTTCTCCTTTCTCCCAGATCTTAGCTTTTATTAATGTGTTTCAAGTCAGAGGATTAGAATTAATTTATTTTACAATTATGTTCCTAGCTCTGGTTCAAGATAGTAGAAAACATACATATGAGTTTGTCCTTCCAAATCTATGTAATCATGTAAGCTTACCTGCAAGATGCAAGTGCTTAAATGGACTGAGTGACCTTAAATTAACCTCAGCTATAAGGGATAATAAAAAGAACTTGCCCTGGTTCCAAGGAATAAGATCAGAAGTGAGGGGTGCCCTAAATTGTTGCAGTCAGGACCAGTGAGCCAGCAACTCTGGAAAGCCCTCATCACCAACCAATCCCGGACTCTCAAACAATATAATCCCATAAACCTCTTGCTAATTGCTCTAAAAAAGGACCCCTTTCCCTTGCTACTGGGGAAGCAAATTTGAAGTTGCTTCTGTCTCCTTGTTGCCTGGTCATACAATAAAACTTTCTTGTTTTAAGACCTGATGCCATTGCCTTTTGTATGCATCAGGTAATAGAACTGCTTCTTCAGTAACACAAGCTACTCCAGAGGCTGAGGCAGGAGGATCACAACACAGCAAGACCTTGTCTAAAACACCACACAGACACACACCCACACCCACACACATACTCACTACCACCTCCCAAAATTAATGCAGTCACAGGTATTTAGCTTCATTTATAAATTATCTTGAAATGGTTAGATTAATTTCAGAGATGTTTTAAACCTGAAAGAAGTATTTTAAAAAGATGATGCAAAAAATTTATCAATAATAGTAATTCAAAGATTTCAACATGTAACCTTGGGACATTATTACAAAATCTAGAGGTTCAGAAAATATTTTAATGAACAATAGCCTATGTAACAAACATTATTATGTGGCTTTTACAAATAAATATTTTAAAATTAATTCTCACCTCTTTTGAAAATCTTTTCATCTTCATCTACACAACTTATTATTTCTGGTACTAAGTTTGATGACTTCTTCAGTTCTGAGGATGATGGAATATCAATTTCCTGTTTGAGGCTTGTAGGTATCAAAGATTCACACTCAATAGGAAAAAGAGGTGGCTGAAATAATACATAATTAAGAGAAGTTTTTAAGGAGGCTTCCAAATAAATATTCTTGAGTTCATAAATAGACATATTTGCTTAAATGGCATATCAAATTTTGAACTAAACTTATACTCAAAAAATTTGATACTATGCATACTTTTAAAAACCAAAGGAGTAGTAGCCAAAAATATATTCTATTATAGCAATGTTTTCTCTGAGTATTAAATTTATGGTTACTTATTACATTAGTTATATACAATATCCTTAGATACAGAAATATATTCTTTTGGCTAAGCGTAAATTTTTAAAATTCTGCGTTGGAAATAATCACTGAAGCAGATGAAAGACGGTAAATCAAAAGAAATAAAAAGAGCTGAAGGAATGAAGTGAATATTTACTGTACTCCATGTAATACATTTCTTTCTTTTTCTTTTTTTTTTAAGAGAGATTTTTGCTATAGGGTACATGTGCTCACCAGCGAGACAGAGAGATACAGAGAGACAGAAAGAGGGAAATCACCCTCCAGAAGGGATAGCCACGCCACAATCCCTTCTCCTCCATTCTCCTCTTGGAACTTTGGGCATGCACACACACGCACTAGGCATGAGTTTCAAGCCACTGGGTCTGGGACTCAATCTGCATTGACTACATGGAAGTTCAGTTACATAATGATTACACCATCAGCTGGTCCCCAAATCTTTCTAACCTGACAATTGTAAACAGTCAATGTAGATTACTAAAATTTATAAAAGTGTGCTTCATTACTTTTTTTTTTTTTTGCTATAGGGCGCGTACGCTCGCCAGACAGGCAGAGAGAGACATAGAGACAGAAAGCGAGAAATCACCCCCCAGGGGGGATGGTCACGCTCCAATCCCTTCTCCTCCATTCTCCTCTCAAGATCTTGGGCACATACGCACACGCACCCGGCGTAAGTTTTAAGCCACCGGGTCCGGGACTCAAACCACGGTCGACTATGTGGGAGTCCAGCGACATAGCCATTACGCTAACTGCTGGTTCCGCTTCATTACTTTTATAAAAATATTGAAAGCAAATATTACAACCTCATTTAAACCTACTGTATCTTCTGGTTTCTCCTGACAGAAGTTCTCTTTATCCATAGGAAAATCTTCTTTCACAGAAACTTTCAAATCTTCTTGAAAAGAGAGACATTCCCTTAAACCAAAAATAGTGTTTACTAAAAGCAAATTTCATACTAAATTTAGACAGTCAGAACACATTAAAATTAAAGTTCAAGTAAAGCAGTGATAAAATACTATTATTACTAACATCTAAATTTGTGATCATACAAAAATATTTTCTTCTCTTAAAAATATTTATATCATTGGACAATTAAGTACCTGGTAACATTAGGTTCTGTGAAGAGCTGTTCTTTGAAATCTGAAAGGGAGTCCTCTACCCAAGATGGCTTTAGGCTACTTAGGAGAGTATGCGAAGTTGGTAGCTGATTTTTATAGGTCATCAAATTATCTGTGAATATTATTTCTTCTTCATCGATTGATAAATCTGGAAAGAAATTAGAAATTTAAGTAATAAGATTAAAAAATCTAAAAGTTCTACAAAGGGAATAGTTATTATAACCAGTTTATTTATCTATTAATTTGTTGTAGTAGTTTTCTTTTCTTTTTTTTTTTTTTTGGAGAGGTTTTTGCTATAGGGTGCATGTGCTCGCCAGACAGAGACAGACAGAGAGACAGAAAGCAAGAAATCACCCCCCAGGGGGGATGGCCACGCTGCAATCCCCTCTCCTCCGTTCTCCTCCCGGGATCTTGGGCACGCATGCACATGCACCCGGCATGAGTTTTAAGCCACTGGGTCTGGGACGCAAACCGCGGTCGACTACATGAGAGTCCAGCGACATAGCCATTACGCTAACTGCTGGTCCCTTGTTGTAGTTTTCAAGCTGAGGGTCCAGGACTAGAACTGCAGTCAGCCATGTGGAAATTGAGTGCCTTACCACCCCACAACCTACTGGCCCAATAGTTGTGTTTTCAAACACATTTTTAATTCTTTAGTTCTTCCTTACACCAAGTATATAAAGCATACAGCACAGTAGTATAATATAGATAAAAGACTAATACATTCTAATATTATTTAACACACTGAGGAGTAACCAACTATCTCAATAGAGTTGTACTGGCCAATGCTTTATTAGCAAAGATTAATCAATGAGGGAAATAGCCTGTGGTCCAATGCTTCAAAATAGCCAGGAGTAGCCTAAGCAAAAAAATTTAATAATAAAAGCATTTAACTTTTGTGGACCCTTGTCTTTGCTTCTGTGCATAATTTTAGCTCTTGGGTCTCCAATTCTTCCTTTAGGACTCTGACATAAGGTATGGAAATGGTCTAGAGCCTACAAATGAGAACACTCTGATTCTACATTCTATAATAATTATTCCCACAGGGTTGCTATAAAACTAATTACAAAGAAAGTTATATAGCAAACTACCTATTTGAGAAATGTGACTTATCTCACATATTAAGAAACACTACTGCTAACAGTTAATTGATGGAATAATTTTTTCTTCAGTATGGCCACCCTGCCTTGTTAGGTTTATTTCAGAATCTAGGCAGTGTGAGAATTTTAACAGTTTGTGAACCATGGGTGAAAACAGGAAACCTGCACTCATTCTTCAATAATCTCCTGAGTAGAAAGAAAAAAAAGATAATATAAGCTCAAGTGAAGAACTACTGAAAAAGCTAAGCTCCTAAAAGCTAAAGTCACCTGGGGAGCAGGGAGCTGTGGGAGTGGGATAATGGCCTTCTACTCTGAGCAGTGGTCTTTTGGCTAAGTGATGGTGGAATGGCACAAGAAATAGTACAGAGTTTTCGGATTGTGATAGCTCCATGGCCAACTACATAATTGGTGTGCATGTGCCAAATAAATGTGTGATATAAAGCTGGCAGCCAGGGAAAACCCTTTGCCTGGTGCTAGCTGGGTATGTCAAAAGAGAACCTGTGATATAAACCAGCCTAAGGGATTTTTTAAAAATCTAAATCTGTTAAGATTCTGAAAAATGTAGAACAGCCCTTCTTCAAGAGACAGACAGGTCCATGGCTCCTGCGATCTAGCCAGTTTGGAAAAAGGAAGATGTCCCACTGATAACTGGGCCTCCAGCATACAAAACTCGCGTGAACAGCCCTTCTTCAAGAGACA